GCAGTGTTCACCTGTGGTGTACTCACTATATTGTCCTCTAAACTGAATTTTCTTTCTTATATATTTCAGTAAATCATTATAAATGTCCATTCTGTGATATGACATGTCCAGCACCATCAGCACTGAATAAACACATCAGATACCGACATTTGGATGAAAAGTTACACCGATGTGATCTCTGTGAATACAGGCAAGTTTGGTCTAAAAAAAAAACTTCACAAGGGGATTCTATGAGAAATTAATTTTTATATTTTCTGATATGAACACTCGGTTCACTTGAAAGTCTTAACCCAGCTTTGTCTGTTTAAGCATTGAAAATTCTGAAATGTAAGCAATTTATGATGAAGTTAAAAAAAAAAATGTTTGTAATTGCATTTGTTTTAAATGCTATTATGCTATATCTCAACAATCAAAAACTCCAAACCAAATCAATGTTGTATTTTCTACCATGTATTACATGATCACCTCAATACTGAGAGTGCAACTTAGATTTAAAGAATATTTTAAATGCATATTCCATGAATTTGCATTTTTGTTAATTTAGAACAGAACAGAATAGTCAGTTTACCTTTTAACTGTGCATAATTTAATTGTATATGACTATATGTTGTAAATTTGATATAATTCAAAGAGAAACTTAGTGGAGTTGTTAAGATTATCAAACGAAGGTAGTGCAATGGTCGTATTAACCTCTCCGCTATAAGATATCAATTGATATGACTGTCAAACTGCCTTTGTTTGTTCTTTATGGTATTCCCATAATAATCTCATGTAATTCTTCTTTTATTGTGTAGCTGTAAATCTGCCTATGATTTGAGACGTCATATTGATAGTCATAATGCAGCACTTATGTTGAAATGTCAAGTCAATGACTGTTCTTACAAAACTAAAGCTATTCAATCTCTTCGATTGCACTACAAGAAGGTACATCATGTGAGTATCAGTTCTCAGCTTGACAAGCTAACAAACATCTATTAAAGATATAATATGAATTTATTATTTAATATTGTTCAATTGACGATACTGTAAACCAAGTTATCATAAACTGGACATTGATGATTCGGTAGCAATTCTTGTACCGGTAATGCTTGAAATAACATGTCTAGGAATTGTAATCAGTGATTTAACAAACTGACAAAAACAACAACTGGGTCCCATATGATGCCCATAAATTTGTCACAAACAAAATTATAAATGTCTTGGCATTAAGTGACAGATTTATTCCCAGTTTATTTTACATCTTGTTACAGAATGAAGAAGCTCGGTACCTTTGTCACATTTGTGATAATAGCTTCTCCAGAGGAAGTCTACTCACAAAACATCTCAAGAAGAAACACAAATTTAAATGGCCATCTGGACATCCACGGTTCAGGTAAGACAAAATGAACTCATACTTTGCTACAATTTATTTCTGAATACTCCTGATTGGTTTGAATGTGATTGATGGAAACAAAGTATTCACTTAAATATTTAGAATTGTACATGCTACTAGGAATTGTGCAGAGGGGGGTCCCAATGAGAAAATGAAGAGGAATTTTGCTGGCAGTATGATGTGTATTTTTATTACAAATTGGCCCCTCTTTGCATTAAAATGGGGGTCCCTCTGTGTTATTGGAGGTCTGGTAAGCAAAATATGGGGTTAGCTCAAAACCTGCATGATACATGAAATAGTTGTTATTGATAAAACAAAAAGAAATTGTTCTGTTAGAAACTCATTTCCAATAGAAGTAAATATAAACCCATAATGAATTTGTCGTATACTAAATCATTAAAATATGATTTGTTATCATGCATGTACATCTAGCAACGGAAACATACAAATAAAAAGTGATATTTGCATTTGTTTCCAAAAATATCCTATACTCATTCAAAAGAAATAAATGACCCGTTAAATTATGAAAAATTATATATTATTTTTGTTTGGTTTTGTGTGTAAGAAACTAGATTTAAAAACATATATTTTTCTTTGCAGGTATAAACTGCATGATGATGGATTTTACCGTCTGCAGACAGTCAGATACGAGAGTGTAGAGCTAACAGAACAGTTAATAAATGAGAAACAACAATCTAGCCATGGTAGCAGACAGGAAGAACAAACTATGGTAGAACATGAACAAAGTGGGAACAGCAGTGATAGTGGTAACATGATT